GACTATTAAAACTGGTCCTTTTATGTACTATTTACTGCTTCTGCAGTTATCTCGAGTGTGTAAGTCTAATGAAATTATTCTAATTCGCATTCTTCAAATCATATCTACAAATTAAAGTAAATAAAAAGGGGTTTACTGGTACAAAAAATTTTTAAATACATTTTATTTCTCGAATTAAATGTTCTTTACACTCAGCACCCCAGAAGTCTGAAGCAGATACCCTTTGCATGGAACACTGAGGTCATGGGACACTTCCAACAATGTAGCAGGAACCGAAGTGTTGCATAGGCAACTGACAATAGGCAGGTGACTGCACTCGGGGACACATAAATCTATTGATGCGCTGAAGACAAATAATTACCGATCATAACAGTCAGCTACAAGAATTCTTCTCCCGACAGTGACTGAACTCGTCCTAGCTATCTGGTGTCAAAAATCCTACCACCGTTGGAGCTCAAAACTAGGACCTCCGGGTCAAAGGCACGACTGTGACATCAGTTGATATCCTGAGTCACCTCTTCCGGGGATGAAATGAAAATGCCAAGCAAAGACACGCTAACATCTTAGGTTCGCATTCATATTCATATGCAGATTGAAAATAATTATATTTTAATTAGATAACGTACACAGCTAAGATTCTGCCACGCTCATCTGAGTTCCAGGTTTTGAATCGACAGGTGCAATAACATCCGTTTGGTTACTCATGAATAGGACATTGTATCTTCTTTCGCGTCCCAAAACATTGGCCGGGATGCAATCAAGTTATGCCTTCTCAGGTGTCCAACAATGAAAAGGGGATAACTTCGAAGCGAGCGGATGTGAGAGAAACCTGACCGCAGGATGCAATCGGATGATTCCCGGGGCAAGGCCGGGCAAGGTCGAGTGGGGTGGGACGACGCAAGTGTGGCGGGAGAGGCGGTGCAAGGCCGATCGGGACGAAACTACACTGGAATAGATAGAAGTGAACAAATAGGGGGGAGGGATAGAAAGAATTCCGTCTACCAGATTGTGAAAAATGAAATCCGAACAATGCGGGGCACTTCAGTTTGATGTTATCAGAATATAACATATCTTCAATAAAAAGATAGATTTTATTACATTTCATGTTTTTCCACCACGCGAAGAAAGTGCAATTATCAGTGTTAGTGTGAAGCAGCTCCAGTAGGTCTAAGATTTTCTAAGTCTAAGTCTAAGATTTTTTCTGGGCCTTTTATCCAGTCGATTGCCGGTTACTCTTTACGTCCTGATGGGACGCATATGCGACCGTACCCACAACACCAACACACTAGTGGGCTCCTCTGGTCTGGGGTCAGCAGAACGCGAGGCCCTCCGTGACAACACACACACATGAGAGACAAGGGGCAAACAACCGTGCCCATGGCGGGACTCGAACCCGCGACTATTCCGACCGAAGCTCAGAGTCGGCACACGCTCGTTATCACCACGGCCCTCCAGGTCGGCTCTCTAATAGATGATTGGGATAACTAAATTCTCGAGAAAGGGCTTATTAAACTACCTGTGGAACTCTGAAACGAGTTTGTAGGCTCCGCTTCATAGAATACTAATTACCAGCTACCTCAGTTTTTTCTGCTCCAGAATCCCATTTACCAGATAGTTGGCAGGAGCATTTTTGCTGCTTCAGGCCAGTAGAATATTTTCATTCTCAAATAATAGATCTATGAAAATTTGTAATGTCACAATTATATTATAAAAACAATAAGAAAAGTGCCCCGTTTAATCAAATACGAAAAACCCGTTACGAGTATTGCTGCTGGTGCTCGCCCTAGTGTAGTGCACGTGTGTGTAAGGTAAGGGCGAGGAAGAGGAAGGAAAGATCACGCGCGGTCCGTGGTCCGTTTAATACGGTACTACTCTAGCATTCGGCTTGTACTGATCGAAGAAACCACGGAAAACTACTGATCAGAGCAGCCGGCCGCTGAAATTTCTCCCCAAACGAGATTTAGACACTGTTGTGCAAGTAGAAGGGATGTTATGGCTCAGGGAGAACAATGTTGCTGCAGTGTCCCGGACCCAACTTTCCAAGTTTCGAGTCAGAACGGAGGAGGATTTTCGACACTAGCTTTATAGCGATGTCGGGTGATTGCTTAGTTATTCCGGAGGCGTCAACTGCCAAGTCATTAATCCCGTAAGTGTAATGCTTCTACCCGTCGGCAGTCTTTTTTTCTAACGAAGTACCTGCCATTAGCCCAGTCGGGACAAGCTCTAAGCTCTAGACCGGTCTCCCGGCATGTGTGATAGTACATGTAAGTGCGTGTGTAAGAAAGGGAGGAGGACAGCACAAGGATGAGGAAGGAAAGATCGCGCGCGATCCGTAGACCGTTTGTTAGGAGTACTGCTTTGGCATTCGCCCGACTATGATCGGAATAGCCTTGGAAAACTACCGATCAGAGCAGCCAGCTGTTAGGATTCTTCTCCAGACAGCGCCAGCGGCTGAATTGGACATAGCAATCTGGCTAGTGTCGAAAATCCTGTCATCGTCGGCATTCGAAACTAGAACCTCCCGATCAGAGGCACTGCAGAGGCATGAGTTGATGACCGGAGCCAACTCTCCCGGTTAAAGCGTGGTCGAAATCATCCTCCAACGACTGGGTTCCCACTTTCCTTCCTCGCGTCCCTCCCTCTCCTCTTACGCGCGCGCTCCAACCCTCACATTCCACATTTAGCTTTTGATAAGTTTTTCATGTCGAAATATCCACCTTTATTCCAAGTACTCTCCGTAATTGACAATAAAATACATGGACAACAATAAAGCTTTGCTTTAACTTCACTACGTGATAGGCATTTCTGTGAATCATACCACTAAGGCTTGAATTTTCTTGCATTTTTCTCGCCAGCACGATGTACAACCGCACTCAGTATAGGAGTAGATCGACAATTCTCCGAAGTTTGTCTCTATTCTACATCGTTACGACGTGAAAACGGTATACATACTAGTTCGTTCACTGTATCGTCATAATATTAACGTAACGAAAATCAAATCCAGTATTAACGTAAAATAAAATTTAAATATAAAAAAATCAAATAATTAATACTCCGCACCATGCCAATTTAAAATGAAAAAATAAACACTTCCTAAATAATAATCACTTTTTCCACTTGTTAACTTGTCAATAAAACAACTCTACCATACATGTCGGCAGTTGTCCCAGCTGGAGCGTTGACTCCCAGGGGAGATATCACACCAGGACGTGGAAAATATTTAAACGATTTTCCCTTCCCCTTCCCTGTCCAATCCTCTCTTGTGTACGTATGTATGTGTGTGTGTGTGTGTGTGTGTGTGCGCGCACACACACACACGAGCTCATAAAATATCTAGCAAAGCGACGTACAGGTTGGCACCGGATATTACCATCCGACGTGGGAGGAAAATTGTCACTTCCCTGAATAAAACATTCAGTACACTAACGAGACTAATCACCGCAGCAGTTGACATAAGAGGAATCATATGGTTCTAAGCGGAAACAATCTCTGTTAACAGACTTTCAAATTTCCTAAAATCCTCATTCGTATTTTAATGGTAAAAAAACTAGCCGAATTGCTTAACAACTCTCTGCGAAGTCACTGATGTTAAGAAACTCGAGTCATCGCGGGTTCCTGGATAGGTGACAGTTTGGGAACCCCATGGGTCTAACGGCGCTGTGGCCCTGGCCGACGGGATAAAATGTGATGCCTGTCCACAACTGACAATCACTGACTAGGTTAAAAGAGGAATTCTCCACTCCACAATCGGCACCCCGATTGAAGTGGCTCAGAGCATGTCTCTTTGCATTCGGGAGGCCCGGGTTCAATCCCCGTGCCGGCAATCCTGACCGGGACTTCCGAGGCGATTCCTTAACGTGGGATGTCCTCGGTCGTCCAGGCGAATGCTGCGATGGTTCTACTGAAAGGCCACGACCGCAAAACCGTGACGAATTCCTCCGTGAAGTGACGAAGAGCGACTTAAGCGAAGTCGAGACATCGTGGGTTCCTGGTTGGGTGACCGTCTAAGAACCCCGGGATCTAACGACGCCGAGGCCAATTGCTCTTGACGGGACATAAAATGGCTACATACTAATACATTCGACGCCAGTACGTGGCTGTATAGTTATGAATTAACGTTACAGAAATTAAAAACTTCCCCCCCCCCAAAAAAAATGTACAGTACGGTTATGGCAGCCAGTGTCGATTTTTAAATTCTCGCTAGCGCTTACGCAATAGAGAGGAAGTTATATAATGTACCGCGGAAAAACGGCGAATTTTCAGCAAAAACATTTATTAAGAGCCATGGTAACGAAAAAGTGGATAAATGTAGTTGCCAAATTTATATTTAAAAAATTCTCTAACACATGATGTAGCCAGAATCCATATTTTGTGGGTCCTTGATACCGAAAAATCGAATGACGGCAAAATGCCTGTCTGTCTGTCTGCCTGTCTGTCCGTAAACAACGCATCAGCCGATTTTCTCCAAAATTGATTTTCCACTATCGATCTAGCTTGTCGCTGCCCTTTTGAATTTGAAACCGATGTTTTTATTTTAGGGAGTACTTTACATGAAACCCTTGGGACATTTTCATTTTTTTTTAAATGGCACCATCATTTTTTATTAAATTTTGTTGCTGGGTAGTGTGAATGACGTTTAAGAGAATGGTGCAAGTCTCATTTTCGTTGAAACTGATTTTTTTTGCAAATTGCAAAAAATTCAAAAATTTTTGGCGTTTTCACACATTTACAGTTATGATGATACATATTTTTCCTTTAATGAAATCTGTTCCTTAAAGATAGATTTTGAAATAAGGCCATGTAGAATTTTTCGAAAGTGTGAGTACTTATCGCGTAATTTAGCGTAAAAGTACAGGCGAGAAAGTATGTGCCGGTTTAGTACCACTAGTTGAAAAACGAAATGGCGATGTAGTCGCGCCCACTGCGCGGGGCGAACTCTGGCCCCGGAGCGAGATCCGCGCGCTATCTGCCGCCGCGGCGGCGACCTTCGCCCGGGCGAGGGCGTGGCCGCGCGCGCCTTAAAGCCGGTTCGGCCGCGCCGCCCGCCACACGTCCGCACGTCGCCATGGCTCTGCCGGTCACCGTCCTCGCCAGGGGCTTCGCCTCCTCCGCGGCCGCCGCCGCAGCCATCAAACATGTGACGATCGTGGGCGGCGGCCTCATGGGCTCCGGCATCGCGCAGGTACGCGCCCGCGCTCCGGCGGCGGTGCAGAAAACAATCGCTCGCGTGACTATGCACTCGTCGCTCTCACGTCGCGTTTCGATGAGTTGGCATTAGGGATTATACTTCGATTTTTCTACAGAGGCCGATAACATTAGGTCATTGTTACATCTCCTGTCTTATAAAACGTATCTTTCTAACAGTGGTAAGCACATTTCTGAGCCCCGTGGAAAAGGGCGTTCGCGAATTAATTAAAAAGATGCATTTTGTAAGGCAGGAGGTGTAACAATGGCCTAATGACATCGTCCATTTTAAAAAGTGAGAATGTGTGCGGTCTCTCTACGAATCTGGTCCGCCTGCTCCTCGGACAGGGGTTTGATGGCACCCGCCATCAAATGTCGATGTCGGATGTGATGACCCGCGTGTGTACGGTAGCGATGTTTAGGCCCTTGCTGAGTACCGATAGGGTGTGCACATTCACATTTTCATTGGAGAGATTAACCAATATGTTTTTGACCTGTTGAGAGACCGACTCCGGGCTTTGTTTCACTTTAAGCCCATTGAATTTTCTTGACTGGCGGGTTTTCGCGTCGTCGTGAACATGGAGAGCGTGCTCGATTGTGGCCGCCTCGAGGTCGTCCCAATCGCCTCTGCTTAACCGGGCCGTACCTCACTCACCGTCCGGGCACGCGGCGCGCCACCCGACTCGAACCCCTCCCGGTGTGGAAGTGCGGCCTTCCGATTGGCCGGCTTTCGTTTCAGCCAATTGTGCTCGGCCCCAACCATATATAAACTGACCACTCCGGCGCAGACCAGTCCTGAGGAAGGCCACGATAAGATGGTCGAAACGTCGGCAACAGAGCCTTCGACGTGGTGTCACCCGCACAGCCAAGATCATTCACATGACTCCGGCGCGGAAGCCTTCGATTTCATCCATATTCTTTGTCCATATCAATGCATTATTGTGTTCCCGCTAATTTGCATAAAATAACATCCGATTCTGCGTCTGTCCTAACCAAGATTTATTCATCCAGAACAACCAATTTGCCGCTTTCTGTACTTAATGTTCTAGAGCTCAAGAAAACATACACAGATTGTACTTCTCCCTAAACAAAATTTTACTATTTACTGATAAAATAATTCAAATTTTTAAAATATGTCAATAAAAGGTTGTGTGAAATGTCATTTCCACCATTGATGTGCGCAGAGAGAGGGGGCACGGACTGAAAATTTTAAAAGGAGCCCGTAGTCTTAAGTAATAAAACATTATTTCCGTAAAATGCGTTAACTACCTGGACGAATCGAACGTATACATACATTTTAAACTTTAAATGAAGACAAATTCATGGGCACATTAGACTAGCGGCATATCGTTAGCGTTTATCTACGTCTAAGTAAGTTTGATTACCTCGGGATATACAATTTGAAAACTTTTGCGTTTTACTTAATTGAAAATGTCAACATTGTAGTGCTGTAGTCATTATCTTATTGCCTCTATTTTTCAATAACTAAAATTGTTATTTATTTAAGGATTTTTACTTTTTGGAAAAACATAACTGCCCCAAATTGCAAAATAATCGAACATTTTGAAGGCAAAAACGTGAAGAAACTTACGAATCCACTATTGGAATCGACCTACACACAAAGAAACCTCTAAAATGCGTCAAAAAATCAAAAATCTAAAAACGCAGAAAAGCATACCAAACTACCCGGAAAAAATACTGCCAAGTCAGAGACAATTCCATTCACAGTCGTCTAAAAATTCATTTTAAAAATTCAAAAAGGCTGAAAATGTGTGTACAAGTAAAATGTTTTTAATGTGTAAATAACATACTTGAATAGTCAAACGGGCCCAGAAAAGTTGTTGTCCTTCTCCTCTTGCTTTAGATTGAGCACGTATATTATTTCGATCAAAACATCAAAGATTCAGTAGAATCGCGCAAGTATTATCCTCGCACGTTTTCTTTTATTTAGCTAGATACAAGAGGAGTGGGATGACTGGTTATATCGTCAACAGAACTAATTAAATAATTTCTATTACACGGGAGCAAACATTTCTGGATATCAGATTCTGTCAACAACGCTCGTTGCTATCATTAATTCCTGATTCAACTAATATTAGTAAAGGAGTGGAGGTAGGTGTTCCGGGGCTCACGAAAACTTGCGCGTACAATACCCCTCTTCGACAATTTGAATTAACAAACGTTATGATTAGTGATCACAAATTTTGTCTTTAATACTGTTAATCATCTGCTTATGCAAGGTCTTCAGTTGTATTTCTTTCAATTCGTGTCCCCCTAATTTTTAATGTATTTTTATTGTTCCTTGAAATTTAAATAATGTATACAGAAAATGGGAATACTCCTTTGGATGTGATGCGATAAATACTTTGGATAAATTGAGCAAAATTACAAAAAATGTTGGGGGGGAGCAAGAGCTCCATTGCCCTTCTCTTGGATTCACACTGTGCAGAATCGTCCCTAACCGGGGAGATCTGATCAGTCATGTTTGTATAATCGCCTTTTTTAAAGCTAGAGTAAAATTAGAATACCCTGGGCCGCTGATTGGTGTTAAGTCCGAGTGGGTAGTTCACCCGGGTATGGGTCCCCCCTCCCACTCCATCTCCGAAAATGTACATGAAGAGAAAAAGATAAAACTTTTTTTTTCAAATTGTCATGTTTATCATTAATTGTCATCACGTTTATTTTAGGTAACTTCAGTACGTGTTTTTTTCACCCAGCTGGTTTATAAGATGTTAGTTTTGTTAGAACTCTGAGAAACAGAGTCACGGAGGGACGAACAGAGAGAGGCTGAGACGAAGAGACAGGGGCTCGGTGAGAGAGACGGAGAGGGAAGGATAAAGAGGGAGGGCAGGACATTGCCAGCTTGCGCTAGAAAACAAAATTGTCGAGCCGATCTTGCAACATACGAGTAGTTTGATCGCTTATGTGTTTTGATTCGACGCAATACCGAAAAACTTTGTCTATTTCTGGAATTTGAAGTTTGAGGAATATTTTTCTCACCCCAAATTCCAGAGGTATTTTCACCTCAGATCGCTAAAGGGTATTTTAATCCACTGCCAATTTTTCGGGTGGGTATAGCTATTCCCACATTATCCCCCGGGTCTGAGAACACCTTCCTTTCGTTAACAAGAACACAAACCATATGTGAGACAGGAGTCTTAGAAGTAATATAATGCCCACAATATTTTCTTCCTCCCATTTCCCTTTTATGAAAGTTTGTTTCGTCTAGAGTACTGTCGGTCTGCGGAACGTTTACAAGCAAACCAAACATTTCATATTTAAATATTTCACTACAATTAACTTTTCCAGTTCTATTTCGGCATCAAGGTGCTGAGAAAGCAATCATAGAAGTACACTATGTTATATAGCAATTATTAGACAGAATTCTTTAATTTACTTTCATTTCGTAAACACACAGAGAAAAACGAAGGTCTCTTCCGGAGGAAAATTGCAACTCTACGTTATCTCTGTCGAAAAGTATTATGCATGCAAAATAGAGTCCGCTTCGTGCTCAGCTGTCAGTGTGAGATAACGTTCACGATAAGAGACGAGTGTCTTTACGATACGACGCCATACTACGGTATTATCATAAACACGTTTATGATGAAAGAAATGTTTAATAAGTTCACGGGCGTACAATTTCATCAGGGGGGGGGGCAAAAGAGATGCAAGAATATTATTACTACTAAAGTACAAGTGATATAATGAACAATAAATTATACATTTAAATGTACGCAATAAATAGTTAACAATTGATAACACGAAAATCAACTATTTTCCAGTAAGCTACTTTGAAATATTACTTATTTTTTCAAATATTACACAAGTGTAATTATTTGACCTCCCTCACGTAAATATTTTCATTAGCGTCGATTTGTTCACATCATTGCATGTATGATTACATGTGCTTCAATGATGTCTCATAAGTTTCTCAAAACTGAAAAGTTTTCTGTGAAAAATGTGCGCAAAATTACGCATTTTCAGTAACCCTGAAGCGCCATTTCTCAAAACTGCGTCCAGTTTTTTTCTTCAAACTTTTTGTACGGATTGTTCTAAATGTACAGTATAAATGACATAAAAGCTATTTGCTGTATTCTTTGCTGATGTTTTTTTTTTTTCGAAAATCACACAAATGTTTTTTTTTTTTAAACTCTCTCATGTCGGTAATATGCACATATCCAGAGATTTCTTTTTGTTATGTGTTCAGAAGTGGCTTCAAATGATTCCCATCGACGTTACTTCAAAACTTAAAAAAATTCCTGTGAAAAAGAGCTTCAAATTGCGCATTTAGTGATGCTTCAACGGACATTTCGTAAAATTGGCTCCAAATTTTTTCCACGAAAATTTCCATTTGTGATTGAGGATTCTTCTGTAATATTCTTAAATGTCGATCCGGTGGCCGAGATCGCTAAGGAAGTAATACCGTGGCGACCTGGGCCGAAAGGATCGCGTGTTCGAGTCCTGTCTTGCGCATTGTTTATTTGTTTCGTTCTTTCACCCATCATAACCCTATTCCTTTATTCAGTATTTCCGGCAAAAAAACCAGGAGGCGAACCTTCCTCTCAATGGGCCTTAGTTGCTATTTGTTGTTGTTGTTTTTTATCTTGCAGTAAATATTTCGGATCTACCAAGAAACCGAAAAATTGAGAAAAATTTTCGGAAAAAATAGTACTTTGGGCGGCAAATGGATGAAATCTGGCAAGAGATATGAGGTAAAAAAAACAGTCATTTCATTTTTTGCTGTATGGCCTAATCTCTGTACCGGTTTTAACAAATTTTAGTGGAGGTTTTCACAGAAATTTGAGTAGTCCTTTGTCCGGTATATCGGTTGTCATGCTTACGGTTTACCCCGTAGCGTTTTCAGACAGACGGTCAGAGCTTTTGCGTGTAAACAATTCTTGGTTCGGCATTAAGGACCCACAAAACGTGGATTCTGAATGCTCAACATGCCAGAGGAAGTAATCTTCTAGGTATACAACGGAACAAACGTTATCGGGGTCCTACAATACTTCTACCGAAATATCGCCATTTTCGCTGTACTACGTATGTAGTATATGTGACAAAGTAAAAAGCCGCGCATTTATTCTCGAACGTTCCTATGATAGTGAGATCGCGGGTTCCATCCAGGAAAGGAGCCCCAAATTAACTCGTGAGACAGCTCCTTCCGAGTCGAAAGAGCAGTGCGACTGCTCTTCATAACGACGGACCGCGCGCGATTGTTTCTTCTCATTCCCAGAGACATAGCCAGGGGGCCCCTCCTCGAGTTTGGATTGATGATTCCGGCGCGTCAATTCGAAGGTCATTCATCTCATAGTGCAAGTTTTTATCACGCGAAGTGGCGGTGATCTTTTTCCGCTGGATGGCGAGCTCCGACACCAACCTACTCGACATCGACTTGCAGGGTTTTCCTCAATCAGGTATCTCCCACCAGCGGGACAAGCTCTAAACCCCCAATTGGTCAACAGGTATGTGCCAGGGTAGTGTAATGTAATGTATAAGTGTAAGTAAGGGGTGTGGATAGTATAAGAAAGAGGAACGAAAGATTGCGCGCGGTCTGTGTCCTGTTTGGTCTACCGAACAGAGCAGCCGGGCGCTACAATTTCCCTCCAAACAGCGAGTCAATTCGACCTACCTAACAAGCTAGTATCGAAAATCCTGCCACCGCCGGGACTCGAATCCTAGGACCTTCTGGTCAGAGGCACTGCAGTGACATCAGTTGATACCACCTCAGCTGGTCATCTTTCTTGGGGTTCGCCGGGCGTTCCCATCAACGGCTCCAGAGCCGCACGACGATTGCACCAACCCTACCTATGATCCTTTCCAATCCCCACTGACGAATTGAATTTTTTTTTTCACAGGTGTCTGCCCAACATGAAAATCAAGTTACTCTTGTGGATGTGAGTGAAGACGTGCTGAAAAAGTCTAGGCAAAATATTGAAACTAGCCTGAAGAGAGTTGCCAAGAAAATGTTCAAGGTCGGATATTTTGACACTTACGTGATTTGTTACACTTTCACCCGCAAATAGCTTAACTCTGCTACCGCTGGGACTAAATTTCCTTTAAACTTGCAAAGCTCTGATTCAATCACATAGTCACGAGAATACATCTTACAACTGCAACTTTTAAGTTACCAGTAAGGTGTCTGTGCATTTATGCGACATTCACAATGTCTCTCATCTATCATGAATATAATAATTTGTTAAAGATACTTTCTTGCAATTAAAATCATTATCATATTTAAGTTTAGCCATTTACCCGTATTTTTTTCCCCGCAGGATGATACAGCGAAAGGAGAACAATTAATCTCAGAAACACTGAGCAGAATACAAACAAACGTTGATCTAAAATCTGCCGTTCAGAAGGCAGATTTAGTTCTAGAAGCAGTAGTAGAGAAAATAGAAGTTAAGCATGAACTGTTCTCATTAATTGACAATGTAAGTAAGAAGTGAAATATACCAGTTGGACAAGCACAGCATAAAACAAGTGAGGGGCAATTACATTTCTGGAACCTTTCCCTTTTGAATTTGTTTAAATGTTTACTAACAAATTAATAAAACATATTTCAAAGAGAATGAAACTTAAAAGAGAATAACTTAAATGATACAATTAATAAATACAATTGATTTTTTGTTAAATCATTAACACAAGTTTCCAGAAGGCTTATCCGTTTCTCAAATTATAATGGTAAAATCAGGAATTGAAGATATTTAAGGAAATAAAATGTTATGGTGCCTTTGAAACCTTTTCAGGGGGGCCACTGTCCTCTATGCATGCCTATGACTGCCTATGCCTATTTAGGAAGCAAGTATTCATAAATATGATTTCAAAAGACTTGCCATTTTCTAGGTTGCACCAGAAAGCACAATCTTTGCATCAAACACATCATCCTTATTAATAGGTGATATAGCCTCTGTCTCCAAACGAAAAGACAGATTTGCAGGACTGCATTTCTTCAATCCAGTTCCTGTAATGAAACTTTTGGAGGTAAGGTACTGGTCTTCAATGTACAATAATGTACAGTGTTTTCCTACATTAAGTTCAAAAATTCTATTTTTTGCTTGAAGGTTGTAAGAATTCCAGAAACTTCAGACGAAACATACAACAAACTGATTGAGTGGGGTGCTGCTATAGGGAAGACCACAGTGACATGCAAAGATACTCCGGGTTTCATTGTCAATAGATTGTTGATTCCCTATAGTAGTGAAGCAATTCGCATGCTGGAAAGAGGTAAAAATAAGAAGTTATAAATAGAAATTAGGTTTAAAATACTGTTATTGCCACGTAAAATTGAATAATAAAATTGGTACATTAACAGTGCTGTAAGTATAAAAACCTTGAGTTCATAAAACAATTTAAATATTGCACCAGTCAACATGATTTTTCACATAGTTCTCCCTGTGTAAATAGTTTCTTTTACCCTGAAACAAAGGAGATTCTAAAATATAAGATTCTTACTTGTTTTTGCATTAAGAGCATTTTCATGTTTCTCTGATTTTTTTATCCAATGATTGCTGTTGATAAGAAGCAAGGGTACTATGTGAGTGAAAAAAACATTTTAATTGACAAGAATTAATGTTTGCCATTTCTAAACAATACATCATACTTGAGGTCTCTAGCACCATATACCTCATAAAAACATCAAAATGCTGCATAACTAGACAGAAGCATTTCTACCACATCTAGTATCCATTAAAGAACTACTGATGCCATCTGGCAATAGGATATTGGCAGTTCCAAATAATGACCCTGATTATTATTTATCATTACAATACACAGTTTGTTTGTTTTTCTTTGAATAACATTGCTTAAGTGTTTAAAGGTATGGATTCAAAAGTAAATTGATTTTATGAGGCTTCAACCTTTTTTGTGAAGTTTTGCAAAGAAATCCCCAAATGTAATTCCCCATCATACTCTTCAAACTTATTGTCAGAGTTAATAAAAATAATTATTTTTTATATATAATTGGATTTTTTCGAGTTAAATCAGATTTAAATTTAAATATTTACATTAGATATAGGTAAAGTTTTCATATACTTGAAAAAAAAGAGAGAAAAAAATTGAAGGGCTTAACATAAGAATGGGGCTACCCGTTGGCCTAGTTCTGAAATATTAGGGGTTTTACTTAAATCTTTCATAAAATAACTCAGAAACCATGGATCAGTAAAATCTTCCTGGAATACTTTTTTATACATATCAATGCAACTTTAAGATATCATTAATTTTTTTGGAATGTACAACTATTGTTCTTGTTTCACAAATATTGGTTGTCCCTTCCATACCCTCTATTGTAAGAAAAAGATTTAATTAGTCCAAATAAATATGCATTTTGAGTATTATAATTATCCAGTTTATAGAAATCACAAATCACAGCACTTTTTGCTGCTATATTCTTCTGCACTATTCCTTGCCTTGTTTCTAATATTTAGTTTTTAGTTTTCTGGATATTATTTGACCTTCAAATTTTTAATTATTCTTGGTAAAATTTATGATAAATTATATTTTTAATTTAAATTATGATTTTTTTTTTGGCGAATCATACGATTTAGATCAATGATATAAATCACTTGATTTAAATCATTGAAATCCTGTTGATTGTTGTTCATTATCATTTTTATCCAATACAGTCTGTGGCTTCTTATTAAACTTGGTGCTAATGAATTCACAATCTGAACAGGGGACGCTACTGCCCGAGACATAGACACAGCAATGAAGCTGGGAGCTGGCTACCCCATGGGCCCCATTGAGCTGGCTGACTACACAGGTCTGGATACAGGACATTACATCAGACAAGGTAAGTGCAGAAAGGTATTCCTTCTTGCGGAATATGAATTTCGGTAACTCCTACCTTACCCCTGTACATTCTGCTTCTTCTGCCACACTACAGCCCTTTTAATACTTGCTTGGCCTCTTTCACTATGATAGTCAATTTATTTTTAACCATTGCTCACCTTCACCTCCTCACACCCACTGCTTTCACTTCTGATTCCACATCTTCCAGCCATCTCACACATGGTTTCCTCTGATTCTCTTCTCTTCTAGTTTATTTGAGAAGGCCCTTTATGGCACTCATTCTTCATAGTTTTCCCAGTCATTATATCCTTTTTTGAACTTCATTAAGCCGTTTTAACTGGTCTCATTTATGTTGGTAAACTCCCAATTAAATTTTTTCATCACTGACCATTTTCACATGTTGACTTTCGGCTTATTTAGGCTTTTCCTTTCCCAGGTAATTTTGAATTTGATTGATAACACCGGGTACTTCACACCGTTCAATACAACTGGTTCTATTTCTGTATTATAGATTTGTATTTATACTATTACCCAATATAACATTATTACATTTCACAAAAGTATTATTTTACAAAATAGGTGCCTTTAAGATCCGTAACATTTATTCTCTGAGATTAGACAAGCATTAATCTCTACTTCTAGTGTTAGTGCTGATAATCAGAAAACTGTATATTAAAATTCATTCACACTTTCATGGATTTCTTTGCCTAAAAAATGAACATTTGTGAGTAATCTCTTTTCCTTTGTTTATCAAGTATTTGCTCTTCTTACTATTAATTTTGAGACCTACTACTTTACTGGTTGCTTGAATAAACTATACCATTGCATTTGATGGGTTCTTCACATTCCTATTGAACACCATATCTGCATATTCTGGAATTTGAATTCTTCTATTAAGAAGTGTGCCACCTGAATTAATTGAGATGAACCATGCTCAACATGAATAACAAATAACTTACTAGATTCCCTGGTCCTCACTTTTGTTCCAAAATTGTTAGGCAGTTTATTTTGTTCTTTATTTGCATTTGGGGATTGTTTAACATCTTTATAAGTTTTGGTCATTAAAGGCTTACTTAAAGTCTATGTATAATTGATGAATTTCTGTATTTTGTTCACAGGTCTTTTCCAATATAGTTAACAGAATGTAGATTTGGTTTGGTAGTCCCCTTCTTTTCCTAAATGAATACTGGTTATCTCCTATATTTTCTTCTACATGATTCTGATCACCACAATAAAATTGTGAAATCTTACAACACTTAAGAGTGGTATTTCTCTATAACATCTCTGCCTTATATGTCTGCCTAGTGCATAGGACAGATAATGGCTGTTACCCAGTCCTTTTGTATTGAGTCTGTCTCCCATTCTTTTTTGAAATGTCCATGCATCTTCAGTTCTATTGACATCTATAATTTTTTTTCCATACTTTCTTCATTAGTTCTTGGAAGTGTAAGTGCTTGTTGTAGATCGTCAAGTGCAACATATGTTTTCTTCGGTAGCAACTCTTAAATCTCTTGGATGTAATAAACTAAAATATAATTTTTCTTTATCTCCATCAGATAACTTTCTCCAGCAATTATTTCTCCTTTTTTATTTTGGTACAGGCCTGTTCTGGGATAAAATCTCACTGCCATAAATCTTATTCCTTCATTGATATTTGAGAACCATTTTTAATTATGTAAATAAATGCCTTTATTCGTACTCAGGTCATATGGCCTTTTTTGCTTAAATTTATAACCTGTTCTTCAAATATTTTTCTTCTTCTATTAATTATCTTCAGTTTTCCCTTTCAGTTCCTTGTAGTGTTTATTTGCATCTCTTTTTGCAATATTTTCTTTCATATTTAATTTCACTTATCAAGGGCAGTTTTCACTCATCAAACCAATGGTTTTTCTCTTCTTTTGAAGAGACCCTTTTACTGCTATTCTTTGTATTATATTTGTTGTGCCACACCTGATTTCTTCAACATATATCTCTTCTTGTTCTGAAATTGCCTTCAGTTTTTCTTCTAATCATTATCGGTAATCTCATGCTTTATTGCCATTTTTTTCTTTCTTTCCAACAATATATCTCTCTGAAATATGCCCTTTATATTTCCCCACTACTAAAATTCTTGATCTAAACCTCACCAGAATAATGTGATGACTTCTATGTGTAGTGACATTATGTTTCTTGTATAATGACTACTTATGAAGATGGCTAAGGGTTGTAAATGCATTAGCAAATCAAAAACTTTGGCACAGCAATGTCACCTCAAATTAGAGGACAAATGAATCGTCCAGCATGAAATTTGCCATTAATCAGATGAGCATCATTACAAATGTCAAGAGGGCAATTAATTGTGATAAGAAAGAAGTGTATGACCAACAATTGCAAGAATCAACTGATAAAAAACTCCCCACCACAAATAAAAATTGTCTCTATTATTTGGCAGACTAATTTTTTTAAGGAATAACATCTAGTCATATTACTGTTTCAAAATTTTTCCTGACTGAACTATTCTTCTAAAAATTCCTTGATTTTCCCCTGGCTTTTCCAACGCAATGAATTTTTTCTGCTTTCCAGAAAGTGGCCATCCTGTTTTTTTATTTGGATCTGTGTGTCTCTTTAAGATTAAGTGTTGTAGTAATGCCTCTAACATTTTGTTTTATAGCATGGGCCAAGAAATTCCCAGGTAACCCACTTTTTGAACCCAGCAAACTTGTGGAGAAACTTGTGTCGGAAGGTAAATTGGGCAGAAAGACTGGAGAAGGCTTCTACAAATATTAAATTGCTCATAAATGCATTTTCAATAAGCAATGTTAACTATTGTAATGTCAATTAATATTAATAATTTTGTACAGTTTCTCTGTAAATAAAAAGTATGAAACATTTGTTTATGAGGTCTCAACAATAATTTATGACTTTTTTTCTTCACTTCCTTAAAAATTGTGGAACTTTAAGCCCTGTTAGGTTAACACAGTTTTGCTTTCAGAACTTGAATGTAAATTTCAAGACTGAATAGTTCCTAAATATGAAAATACATATACATTTTGAATTCATATCTGCTTTATTGAATATTTTTTTGAAACCAAGTCACAAAAATAGCTAAATTTTGTAAAAATGCTCACTGACAATATGGTGACCCAAAGAAAAGTGAACTGGATGACTAAATATATTTTCAAAAAATAATTTGCATAACTTAAGTTAAAATAATTTGTATGATTAAACTCACAGTTGAACATAATCACTTTTTTATATAAACTAGGTAGGCCCAAAATATTCTAATTGTAATCCAGAATACTATTATTCTTATTTTTCATCTAAAATAAATAGTGTGAATATCTCACAAATTTAACCTAAATTACTTCATATTTCAATTTTGCATTTCAAAGAAAAGATTTTTTTGAAGCAGCAAGGAATAATTTTGCAGTACTATAGCAAACAAACCAAGATAAAATGAAGAATAATATATTTGTGATGAAGTCACAAACAATAAAATGCATTACAAAAGACCCTGTACATTATTCCTCGGTAACCCAAATAGTTAAATTACATTCTGACACTTCTTAAAACTTTTAAAAGGTTAAAAAATTTGTATCTTAATAAATGCAATAGTTTTAGGGAAATGGAACTTTTCATCACATCTTAACCACCATTTAATAAAACTGAAGTTACTAAAGATCCAAAATTTGAATATTCGCCACTAAATATTTGCTAATAATTAAATGTTAAAAAACACCCTTCAAAAATAACAAAATTAATTTTCCCAGTTAACAATAATGTGTTGTGCAGCAAAAGGAAATTACTTGTGGAACTACTCAATGCCAAAGAATACATAACTTACAAAGAAAAAAAGAAGAGAAAACTAATGAATAACAGAAACATCAGGGCCATTCCAAAATTTTTAAGCATTAACAGTACTTCTCTTTTCAGGTGTTCAAACTTCCAAATCTTGGTACTGATCTTTGTTTATATTAAAGCAGAAAGAAGATTTGCTCTAGGTTAATTAAAACTAAATGTTCAAAAATACTTCATTTTCATTTATAACATATCCTATATTTCGTATCCCATAGGCAGTGCCAGTGACTTTTAAAGAAAATAAATATATATTTTTTAAGAAATGGTAATTTATTTTGTAGCATGTACCATACACAAGACTGTTTTCTTTCAACTCTTTCTTCATAACCATATTGGTATTGAACTCATTAGAACATGAGAAGCTGAAGTTTGCAAGACATTAAGGACAATACTATCACTATATATGTCTGCATCTAAACATAGCATTTCTTAATTTTTTAAATGTCTATTCACTTCATTCTTCCTCTGTAGAAGCCCAAACCTGGCCATTTGGTTCTTCATCAGCTAAATATTATCTGCTTGGCTGCGTCTTGGGCTTCGGCATCTTTGCAAGAAGAGCCTGGATATCTTTCTTTTCATCATAAGATTTCCATAACTCAAACAGATTCACCACATAACGAGCTATTTCTTGAATTTTCTCAATATCAACATTCAACTCTGCAAACCAAGTTTTTAGATCTTTATGGAGAATTACACATGCTATCTGAAGGCATCCTGAAACAAACAAAAATTAAAATGGAATTTATAGAATTAATTATTTGTGTTACGTTGTATATACTTTGTTTTGTTCTGTTAATGCTCACTGGAAGCACTAATGGCCCAGCAGTTCATGTCACCTTGAAATAATGCAGGTGTGTTTTAAGCCAGTGTAACAGAAAGACACAATAGACACCAAACACAAACAGATGGTGTTCCTGGTTCAAAACTTTAATTAGTGGAACAATATCAACTCTACACATTTGAAATTAAAATAAACCACATCTCCCACCAAAAATCCTGTTAAAATGCAATAATCTGGAGCATCAATTGTTCAAGTCTTAATTATTAACACAGACCAGTCGGTCAAATACGACAGTTGATGTTTTAACCCATGTTTTTATTTCCTAGATAAGCAAACTTTCTACGGTTTAACCATTACTCCAGATCTACCATCAAAGCCAATTCAAATAAAAATGTTGGCAAAGACAATAACTATTTCAGATATTTTTAAAAATTCAGCATCACATGGGTATTTCAGTGGGCTATCATATTTACTCCAAATTAATTAATCTCACCTAATGCAATTTGATATGGAGGGTATAGCAAAGACACATCAGTTCTCAGACTGTCATTTACAACTCGCCATGCCAGTGCCAACAACTGCTCTTCATGGCCAATATCCTGGATTAATTGCAACAATGGTCTGTAGGGTTGATACACAATAAGGCAGCAATCTAGATTTTCTAATAGGTAGAATTCACACTCCAAAATATGATTAGTGCGATATGGAAATTCTTGAGTATATGCATAGCTGAATTTATTTTTCACTGAAAGGATAATACATAACAAGATGTAGAGCAAATCAAAATGTATATCATCAATGAAAAATTTATCTGTGTATACTATTTCAAAACTCACCAACTGTCTGACATGTTGTAATGAGACGGCTATTGGAGATTACACCAAATTCTTCAACTTTTGAAGAAAGGAAGACACAAGTTGGAGCCAGAAGTAAAGGATCTATACACTTCAAAGAGTTACGAGCATAGAACCGTTTAAAGAACACAGTAGCTGTGGCAATTACTTGCTGTCTCAATTTCAACTGTTCTCCAAGTATTTGTATTACTGAAAATTATACAATGTAATTTTGATTGTATTAGAACAACATGCTAAATAATAATACCATTGCAAATACCTTAATATAATGCCAGTTATTCACAAATGTAGGGTACCAGAAATAAATTCATCCCTATTTATTTCCTATAACTAATACTTCATTCCTCCCAGATTTTGAACTTCGGTAATAATCATACCCCTCTAGTGTATGTTCTATCTTTTAGTGTGAAAGAAATCTCACAATCTGAGAACAACTTCAATTTAGATTCAATATTCACTATATTACTTTCTGAAACTTAAATTTTTGCAATTAAACCTATTGACATGGCATATTTAGAAAACTAACTAAAATCAGGTCAATATCAATACACTGAATCTCAATCTAAAGAGTAACATGACACAGAATTACTAACATATGATTAGATTACAACAAAAACCATCATATAATAATAATAATATTTGAGTCACATATATAATTTTAATCATGTATGACAAGTCAAATATAATGTATGCAGGTGCACATGCCTTCCTGCGTTCCAAAATCTCTACTCTCTTACTACTCATTATTATGAGCAAAGTTGGAAAGCAGCATTTTCATGAAATGTTCACCTCTGCGTGATAGGACACATGTGCATGACCTTCAAATTTGATTTTGACTACGCTGCTGATGGAACATAAAACAGGCAGCTGTGACTACTCTGCCTATGAAGGGTTATGGTATCCCATCTCACAGAAATAACATAAGTTTTCATTTTTTTTATTGTGATGTATAAGTTAATCCACCAAGAAAATAAATGTATCATTCCTATTATCATTAATTGTGTCTGCTCAGAAGTGTTATAAAGTCTCAAAACAGCATAGATTGAAGACAAAAAGGGACAATTTTTACACTGAACAACCATATTGAAAACCACATTCATTCATTCCACTACAATCTGCACCTTAGATTTTTTAATTTTCAAGTAAATTTGAACTGAATTTCACTACAGATTGTTGACAGCATTAAAGGTACTTAACATACCGCTTCATTACTATGAACATCAATCAATACAGATTACAGAATAATACAATTTTTAATGAAACAGTAACAGACAAATTCATTCTAAAAACCGACTTGTTTGTATTAGTAGCTCACTTACAATTGGAAAAGAAGATAAATATTTTTTGGTATTCTTCTTCTGTTAATACAGTAAGATCTTGCTGACGTTCACGAATCAAATCTTGTCTATCCAGAAGCCACTGCTGACTGCAAATTCAGGTAAATAGCGAGTAAACTACACACAATACAGGTTACCCACGATAAAAACAATCGACTTACTGATGAGAGCTCTGCCAAAAGTTTCCAGCCATTTTCGCATATTATCCTGCAGATATCTCCACAAACAATTTGCACGCAAAATATCGATATTCTAAAAATATATTGTTTTTATTTGTAAACAAATTGGGTGTAATACATTATCTACACTATAAGAAAAAACTGAAATTAATAATTGAATACTTTATTCACTTCAAATCTTGTAATATAAAAAAATACCTTTAATTTATAGTTCACTGAAACAACGTACTATCATTTTTTTTATAAACGAACTCCCTGGACCTTTTTTCCAATCTGCACCCAGTACAAATCAGAAAGCCACACTCTGATACAAAATCTCCATCCCCTCTAAACCACTCAAAACACAGTTGCCGATCGGGAGACACATCGCATGAAGATTGGATATCCCAACACGAATTCTGAAGCTTGGAAACGTTTTCTGTTATCCGATCTTCATGCAACATAAAGAGGTAATATACTCTTTGTAACGCAGTGCCCGCGTATACTCTCTGGTTCCCGCTACTTGAGCGCTCTCTCTCGCTATCTGAGCGAATAGGTGAAGTTAGCCGAATGCCGATAGAGTGAACTACATGTCATTAACTTTATGGCAACCTCTTTATATCGCATTAAGATCGAATAACAGAAAACGTCTGCAAGCTGGATCAATGTAGGGAATGAAGGAAACGGAAGAGGTCTTCCCTTCCGCAAAGTTATTAGCGGACGACCCAGATTCTCTTGAGTTCTCACGAAGGCGCCGGTTGAAGTCCTACAAGAATTAGACGTTCTTGAGCCCCAGGGGCCTATAACTCCCATATAACGTGGCGGAGACCATTACGGTGGCGCGATCTGCTGCATTACCTTCTTACAGGAACTAAAATACGAACTGCATCCAACGATACTTACAACGTGCGTGGTTGCCGCGTGAGTTCGGGGGTCGCAAGCAGGTCCATAATGTTACAAAAGATAACGTCTATGTTCGCGATTTCTTCAGAGGTTTCGTCTAAGTATAGATTATGAATAATTGAACATTTACAAGAAACTTTTCGTATTTCTCACAAATTAGCCAATTTGTACGTGGGAAACTTGGCGAGCCTAACCTGCAGCTGCATCCGGTGACACTAGCGCTTCCTATATAATCAACCTGTAGCATTGTCCCCAGTTCTGATGGATAGTTGCCGAGCCCTGTGGAGCCCTGGTTTCGCTAGTTGCAATAAGAGAGGGGAGTTTTGGTTATTATGACGAAGGCAATTTTGTATCAAATGTATAGTTTGTTTTTCCGATTAAAAATATTTTATATTACATGGTAGCGAACATTTCCGGCTATCAGATTTTGTTTACAACGCTGGTTGCTCTCATTTATTCTTCATTCAACTTATGTGGGCAAAGGAGTGGGGATAGATATCCCGGGGTTCAAGAAAAACGTTCGCGTATAATACGACTAACGCTCCTGCCCAAAGAGTATGTACCTGAGACGGCACTCAATGTTAAAAGGGGATGCCTCATTTGCCCAACTTCGGGAGCTACACATTGTTCTGTATAATTTCTATTAGGCAAACAGACAGCCAATAGCGTAGAAGCAACCGGTAAATTTGAAATAAATATCCTACGCGGGAACTTTAAAATTTCATTTCCATTCTTAAAGCCTTAATTTATCAAAAAAATCACAATAATAATTATAAGGATTTTATTGAAGAAAAAACTCAAATTAGGGCAGTAAAATCTAGTATTTATTAAGCATATTGATGTTATACAATTTCGTAATTTCATTAATAATAACAAGTTTGTATTACACAAGGTAATAACAGTGCAACTGCTCAAATGCATCTTTAGTATTTGCTTGTAGATATGCCAAATTATTGTGAATACTTTGAAATACTACATTACAAGCATTATGCATTAACAATATGCACAGTATTGAAAAGGAACAAATCAAAATACTACCGCACATTGGCACAGGTAAAACTATGATACAAGTTGTTAAAGTGCCATTTTATTGTGCGCGTAGGAAGTTAGCTCTAGTAAGTCAGGTGACCCATTCTACAAGCAAAATAAAATTTCTTTCACCATGCTTCTGTAAGTGGTATTACTGCATTTCATTTCATTTTAATCCCAGAATACAAATTACTTAATTATCTACTGTTACATTAAGATCAGTAGTATCTGATTAGGTCAAATGAACGTAAACCGTTTTCTTTGTTGCTTTCAAATTTTTATCTGAACATTTGAGCGTTGTCCCACTTCTAGTACTAGTGCAAAAAATTGAGCTTTTAGCATGCTCTGCATGCCTTGAAAGAACCGCTTTTACTAGTTGCAGCCTAAAAATGTTTTTTGTTAGTCAATAAATATTTGGGAAAAATATTTTATTTATCCATGCCAAAACTCACACAGGCACAGCTCAGAGCCTGGCCTTTTTAAAATGTGATCACTGTGAAACTAAATTCACTTTTAAAACAATGATTTACAAATAGTGTAATTCCATCAATGCTTGTGCACCACAATTCAATTCTGAAAATGGATTGACAAAATGCAAATATTTGATTGCACCAGGAGCCGAGCTGGGACCTTCGGATAACTGGGCAGATGTGCTAACAAAAGTTATGGAATCAAGCATTGCATTCAGAACTCGTGACAATTCACTATCTAATATAGGGATCAGCCTTCAAATTCAAAAAGTAATTGGCATGAGGATGAACAAAACACAATGATACACGCATTGTAGAATATAAATTGAATCAAGTTGTGTTTGTCACGAGAAACAATTATTGCCAGAACAGTATAACAATATGTACACAATTTATATCAATACTAATAATAAAAAATATTAGGCCAGATAATAAGCACTAAAGAAATTCTAAAATTGCATGAAAATAGCCTCTGAAACAGAAACTTAAAAATTTTTATATTCATAATATTCAAATAAAGTGACTTAAAATAGCAAAACAGGTATTCCAAAATAGTGCAAATGATCATGCTTTACAGAATTAATTTCATCTTTAAATTTAGTTTAATTACAACTTTCCAAATCACACGTGAGAAATACAGTTTATGTAATGGATCCGTATACAATGACAATACACACTAAATTTAAAACTCTCATTATTCGTACCATTAGGAACTGTCAGCGTAAAAGAGGTATGTACAAAACTTCGTGAAAATAAAGCAAGTTATTCACTGCAAGCAAAAATAATTCTTTACAATTATCTGAGTTCTGACTCCTCAAAGAGAACATAAAATTAAAAACAAAATGCTCTCTTCATTATAATTGACATTACGGGGGTAGACTTTTAACATTAAAATAGATCAACATTGTTTTCATTCTGAAGAATAATTGCCATAGTTTTAACCACAAAATATTACGATTATCAGTACTAACTTTTCACATATTCTTGATACCAGGTTGCCTGCAATCCGATGATAGCCCTAATAATAAAGTAAAGCAAATTCGAGTGGACCAAAAATGTGCATAGTCAACAAAGCA